CCTTTGAGATGTGATAATACAAGTGCAATAAATCTAACCAAAAATCCAATTTTGCACTCTAGGACAAAACATATAGAGATAAGACACCACTTTTTAAGAGATCATGTTCAGAAAAATGATTGTGTTGTAGAGTTTGTTGAAACTAGTAAACAATTAGCTGACATATTTACAAAACCTCTACCAAGAGAAAGATTCAATCAATTAAGAATTGAACTAGGAATAATCAATGAGTCTTGTTTGAATTGATTGTGAATGTGTACTTGGGATTGATTGTTTGATTGAAAATTGGTTGATGTATGTGTAAAACATTGATGTATGATGCATAAAAGAGAGAAGTTTAAGAGTTGAAAAAGATTAGGAATGGTTTAAAAAGTTAGAAATAAGAAAAGCAAAAATTCTCTGGAATAATCGATTATTTTAAAATTTAATCGATTATTGTAAGTAAGCCTTTGAGAATAATCGATTATTTGGGCAATAATCGATTATCTGGGAAAAGAGGAATTCTAGAAGTCTCTGGAATAATCGATTATTTGGGCAATAATCGATTATCTGGGAAGCAAGAATACAAAGAGTCTTTGGAATAATCGATTATTTGGGAAATAATCGATTATCTAGGCAAGTTCGAGGAAATGACCCTCTGGAATAATCGATTATTCCAAAAATAATCGATTATTTAGTACAAAAAGGGTTTTTCAAAGGATTTTACTGATACAAATAATCGATTATTTGTATATATAATCGATTATTGTGATTTACCATGTTATACACCTATACAAACACAACATAATATAATGCGTAAATTTTCTATATATAAAACATAACTAGAATATTGTGCATATATAATATGTATGATATGAATTGTCGAGATACTATCAAATTAAATTATTTTTCTCTTTAATTTTACAATATAAGAAACCTTAGGTGAGAATATATAAATTATTGAACATAAATTTTATAATACGAATTAGTAAGAAGATTTTTAATGAACAATGTATATGAAAAGCTAAAATGTATGAAAATTTCATAATAAAATTGAATTTCAATTGAAGAAATAACAATTTAATAATGGTGTGTTTGAATAAGGAATTTTACAAATTTAAAAAATTTTAAATTCTTGGTATTTGAATTACTTTGATTTCAATTTCTATCATTCTTAAAATATTTTGTTTGGATAAGCCAATTCAAATTTATCAAATTTTAAATTGTTAGGTTGGATATGATAATTTGATTCCACCATGATAAAATTGATTTAAAAAATATATTTATATGTTGAGATTTTTAAATTAAATTTTATAAAAATAAATATTAACTAATTTTTAAATATTTAATAATTTTAAAAAATAATATTAGATAATATTTAATAATTTTAAATATATTTTTGAATATTCAATAATTAAAAACATGAAGAGATAAAAGATAAGATAAAATATATAAGTGAAATAAGAAGAAAAAAATATGAGGAATTTCAAATTCTTACTCTTTTGGGAGAATTTTGAAATTCTACTATTCCAAGAAATTTCACAAATGCTTGAATTTTAAATTTTTTATAAATTCTTCATCCAAACAAGGTATTTCACCTCAAAGAATTTGAAATTCTTTAAATAAATAAATTATTCTATTTAAATTCTTCATCCAAACACATTATAAGACAATTGTTCCAGTTTCAAAGAATAATTCAAATTTCACGGTTTAAAAAAAATTAATTCAACCGAAGAAACGAATAACATAATCGCTTCTATGAAATTTCACTCAAAATGTAAATACAATTACAATTTGCAATTCTCTATGAAATTCAATCCAAATTGAATCCAATTTAATGTTTTAAGATGTTCACATTCAAAAATAGAAAACGAAATTGAAATTCGGACAGAAGAAAAGTTATCACAACTATTGAATCCTTGAATTAGCAGAACAAATTTAGTTGAACATCTTGATCAAGATGCTAACAAAATTTGTGTATAGATGAACACACAATAAAATTTAGATAGAGAAAGAGAAATGAGAGAGAGAATTTTGAGAGACTTCTAAGAGAATAATCTCAATTTTTGAAAAATGAAGTAATGGGCCTAATCAAAGTAACTAAAGGCTCATCCTACTAAATCAACTAATTATATCGTTAAACAAATCCTAACATTACATTCTAAAAAAAGAAGAAAATATTGTGTAGGACTGCAACTTTGAAATGCATTTTTAGGTCATTTAACGTTCGAATTAGCCTTTACTCCCAACAGAGAACTTGTAGAACTTTCTCTTATTCTTCAAGGACACCAAGAACGCTCAAATCCAATATTGGAAGCTTTAGATGTGGCTTACATAAGAACAAAGTGTAAAAGCGGTCAAATTGCAAAAATTAATAAAAATTTACAATCATGACTAACTAAACTCACTAATACAAATCATATCTAATATATCAATTATTTACACTATTAAATGCCAAATCATCCCAACTTAATGTATTGAAATATGTGTTTCAAATGCACTATCAATATATACTCAAAATTTCAATGATTAACCAAAAACACATAGAGCAATTCCTAATCATTAACAATACAAGAAAATTTCATGGGGTTACAACATCCTATAATATACAATTATAATTACTTTTGGAGAAAAAGATATACACTAGAAGAGGGGTTGAATAGTGTATATCAAAAACTCACGTTTTTAATATGCAGTGAAGTAGTAGACGCTATGATAGATGAAGTACTGGAATTCAATCAAATGAAGGGACACAAGTATTTTATATCGTTTCGTCTCAAACACAGAAACTACATCTAGTTTTCAATCCAACCATATTGAGTTTCACTATCTTTTTCAAGATACAAGTATTCTTTCACAAGTCACTTCTAGCTCAAACCTAAGTAGTCTTTGACTTACATTTCCAAGCAACTACCCAAGTATTCTTTCAACAAGCCTCTTCAGGCTCAGATCTAAATATTCTTTCTACAAGCCTCTCTAGGCTAAACACCAAGTATTCTTTCTACAAGCCTCTCTAGGCTCAACACTAAGTATTCTTTCAACAAGTCTCTCCAGACTAAACACCAAGTATTCTTTCAACAAGCCTCTCTAGGCTAAACACCAAGTATTCTTTCAACAAGCCTCTTTAGGTTAAACACCAAGTATTCTTTTAACAAGTCTCTTTAGGCTCAACTCTCCTTTAGACTATTATATTGGTCTATACCCCTTAATATCATGGTCTTATTTGTGGGGCATTAAGAGACAATGTAACCACTCCCTAGATTCTTAAAACGCTTTATGCAACCAGTCCTAAAACTAGTGTTGGGATTTCTTTTTCTTATGAGGATTTGATTTTCTTTTCTTTCTCCTTATATGACTCACTCTTAGGATAACTCTTTGAAAAATACCCTTCCTCTCTATGGTCCTTCTCTTTCTTAAGCTTATGATTCCTAAACTCATTATAGTAGTAGTTATCTTTATTGATGTCATCACTTTGTTCACTTTTGTTCTTAGATGAATTACTAGAAGAACTACTACCATGCTTGCTTTTGTATTTCAAGAGTTATTCTTCCATTTTTAACTTTTGAAGCTTTAGCTCTAGGAGGACTTTCTTTTCTCATTTCTTTCTCTTTTGTTTCTCTTTTTCTATTCTTTTCTCCTCTCTCCATAGTTTTAGTGCTTTTAGTCAACAATGAGCTTTGAAAGCTTTGGAGTTGAACTAGAATCATTACTACCATTGGAGTCTTTGTGTGTATGCTTACTCACGATGCAATTGAAGAAAAATATTTTTCTTATACTAGACAAAAATGCAACCTAATGTGTTTAAATAAAT